GGGTCTTTATGAGAGGTGTTACGAAGTGTATTCGGAGGAGGGTATGGCAGGGGAGTTGACGGTCTTATGTTTGTTTGTGATTGCAACACATAGAATACGTATCGCGGAGGGTCTTCTTATTACTAAATCAATAATTTGTTGTTAATTTGTATTTTTTTCCCAGACTGCACCAATTTGCGTAGGCGAAGCAGCACCGGTGGAGGCAATGCTGGCGAACAAACAGAGCAACAAACTGGGGGTTTTACAAAGAAAATGAAAGACAGACTGTTTCGTTCGGTGGCAAAGGCCTTTGTTTTTTTTGCAGCAAAGGATGCCACGCTATACCCAACGGAGGACATTTTTTTCACGACACTGCAAACAACTGCGAAATCGATAGGAGAAGATGAGGAGGAAGGACTACGGTTGCACGTGGCAACGTACGGAATCTGAGCATTGATCGGGGAATGTAATCGGATTATGACAACGGTCCGCGGCGAGATATCTTGGCAATTGAGACATTGGTTTTGGGCTAAAAAAGGTCTGCCGCTGGTCCGGTCGGCCCAAACGAACCACCAGCTTCCGACTCGCAACAGGATGCGGGCAGAGATGAAAGGGAACATAACATGGAGAAGGAGCGGCAATGATCCATGGGGCGCACCACCTTTCAAGACGGCACTTACAAAAGTTTTTCAAATGAGAAGGGATGGCATCAACCTCGGTGTAACGTTGCAGCAACTTGCATTTGCGGAACTGGTACTGAAAACCGAAGTCGAACAGACGGCAAAGACCAGCAAGGCAGCGGACCAAATACAAAAACTTGCAACTATCAAGAAAGAGATTGGTGCGTCGCTCCGCTCCCGAGACACCGTTTTAAGTTTTTTTGTCTTCAAGCTTGACCGTGTTGTTTCTGTTGCAGAGAAGACCGTCGCATTGTACAGAGCCGGGTTGCCTGTTGTACGGAGGGGAGACGCCAATAACATGACTACAACAGATGATGATTTTGAACTTGAGTTCATTGCGCCCACCGACGACAAACGTGCGGGCGGAG